GATGAAAACATTTAATAGGTGAGACACTTGATAGGATAAGTCACATAACATAAAAAAGGGCTTTTACATGTTGTATATTGGGTAGGGAATGGTTTAACTTGAAAGAGGATGGGTTATACTGAAGAAAAAAAAAACGACTGTACAGGCAGACACAAACACATATAGATGGTCATCCTCCTCCTTCAGTGGTTTTTCCAAGTTTTGCAAGTCGTTATGGGCACAAAGATCACTTGCTTGTTACAAATTCTATCGGACGGTATGACATCAGTGAGGAAAGTTGAGCTATACCCTCGACACACTGGCATGGTAACAGGAGGTGAGAACATTCCCAAACGTTGATAAAACACTTCAAAAGTAAGGCTTTATTTTCCAGCATGACAGCATACAAGCAAAACAAGCAAGTATTAGCAAAATGTAAGAGTTTTAAAGACCATACCAAGTAAATGTAATACTTCTGATTCATAGTCATGAGTTTTGTATTCAAGAAAAATGTTTTTTCTGAGTATTGAAAATGATTTTGTTGCAAATTCATTTGTTTTGTTTCATGATGTTAGATGAGATAAGCCTTATTAGGTGGCCCGGGGATCGACTGGTTAGCGCGTCGGCCTCACAAGGCAGAGGTGCAGGGTTTGATTGCAGCTCCGGCCTTCCTGCGTTGAGTTTGCATGTTCTCGCCGTGCCTGCGTGGGTTTTCTCCGGGTATTCCGGTTTCCTCCCACATTCCAAAAACATGGATGGTAGGTTAATGGAACACTCTAAATTGTCCCAAGGTGTGAGTGTGAGCGCAGATGGTTGTCCATCTTTATGTGTGCCCTGCGATTTGCTGGCAACCAGTTCAGGGTGTTTTAATTAAACATTTTCTTTTGTAAACTCGAACAAATTACTTGAAGGAAAACGACACTGCAACTTTGGAAGTGCCCATCTCCAATTGCAAAACTTAAGATATAACGCTTATAAAACAGTATCGAACTCCCATAAAAATTAAATTGTCATACACAGAACAGAACACATGGGGAAAAAAACATAATCCATATCCTATACAGTACTGTATTTATACAATTATATAGACATCAAACAGTGGCTTTGAATGGATGTGAGGTTTATAGGCTTAAAAAAATTTTACACACACACACACACACACGCGCGCACACACACACGCACACACGCACCCACGCACACACACACACACACACACACACGCACACACACACACACACACACACATTTAACAAAGATTGAACTGAAATCTACAGTGTGAATGAATGGCTGAATACTCTCTCGGACATTCGCTTCTCTCTTCCGCCAAAGGTCTGTAAGACCCAACATGGAGTGCCACAAACACACTCATTAAATACTATATACACAAAAGGACTAGCGTGGCCTGCCGAGCGGGCTGCCAAATGTGCTCCGGTGGGGGCGCCGTCGAGCCACCACACGTTGGTGTTCAAAGGTTTCAAGTAATGCCAGGAATCCAAAGTATTCATGCATGCAGCACACCCTTAGCGCGTTTCATTACAGTACCAGTGTGGCCGCTGCATGAGGGACACTGCCCCATCATAGTCAGCAAAAGGGGCATGTACTACGCGCTTTATGTTTTATTCAGAGTACAGATTTGTGTGGGAACAACACTGGATTTTTTTTTTTATTTCTGCCCCTATTTTATCATTTAAAAGGACCTGGTGGGCGAGGCGGCCCTCTGAACTCTGCCTAGCGACAAGTGGCCAAGGAAATAGAATGCCAGCAATTGGTTATTTTCATATGGTTGGTCGATAGCTATTAGAATCTCAATTTACGTGTCTAAATTGTAAAAGGAATCACAAATGATGGATGCGAAATTTATTATTTTTTTCAAAGGTTGCCGCTTCACTTTTCATGTTTCTAAGGAATATTTAGCATCAAGAATTTCTGAAGAGACTCCAGTTGACTTTTGGAATTGTTTTGAATTACGAGTATTAGGCCATGACGAAACATTATAAAGTAACAACACCAATGTTTCAGTTTTAATTTTGCAACAAAACTGTTTTTTCGTCAAATAAAAATAACTGGGAGCAACGTAACTTTTTGGGGAATATGACATCATCCCGCAGTAAAAATTCCACTTATTTTCTTTTATTTCATGTCAAACAAATGACCCATTTATTCTTGTAAGTCTGCAGCTTTTTTCTCGCAATCCTATGAGTTTGTTCGCACAGAATTAGAGCTTATTTCTCATTAATTACTTTTCTTGTAACATGACATCATCACATGCCTTTCTGTAAAAATCTGAGTTTGTTTTCCTCCGCCCTTGCAGAGTAAAAAATTACAGCTTGCCTCTTGAAATCTCATGGCTTTTTTTTCAGTAAAATTGCAACTCTATTTTTTAATATTTTAGCAGCTAGTTTACCTTTAACCTTATTTTTTTCTCTTTTCAGTGGCCCATGTACTCCGATGTATCTCATCCATAAACTGCTTGCTATTCGAAATTCAATTTTTAACAGAAACATGGGAGAAATGTTCTCTAACAGCAAAGTTTGAAAAATTTTAGTCACTCACGAAACTTCGAACCACCATCGTGTAAAATTTTATATTGTGATTTGGCTCCCATCTTGTTACTATTAGCTGCTTTTATTCCCTACTAAACACCTAAATAGCAGATGGGCATTTTTTTTTGGGGGGGGGGAGTTAAATTACCATTGTTTGCTGTCAGAGCGAGTGTGACATCTGTTCCCGGTGTGTTTAAATCTTCCATTTGTCTTCATCATCCACCATTATAGAGCAATCCTGTCATCCGCATACAACCTACAAGCCGAGGAGTCCTCCCGAGTAGTTTTGCCAGCTCCGATGTCGGCGTAACAACCTGGCTGCGTGTTATGCGGTGCTCAGGTCCGGCTCGGGGTAATGCCTGAAGACTTTGTAGATCCATTCTGTGTAAAACGGCACGTTGATGAAGATGGCGGGCCGGTTGAAGCGAGCGCAGCCTCGGCCGTGGACGCTCACACCGACCACGACTTTGATTTCACCGTCCTGACACACCAAAGGACCGCCGTAATCCCTCTGCGGGGTTGGGATGAATTAAATCAGTGTATTTCCTGATCTTTATGGAGCCATGGCATACATTTCACATGCGAAAAATCTTGTGCCATGCAAATAAGTCACAAAAACTTGATATACTGAAACAATAATGATCTCGTCCTTGGACCTTGTGCCAGCAAATAGAAGAAAGAGCATTTTATGCATGTCGCCCACCATCCAATGAAGGCAGAGATATTTGTGGATGTGTCACTAAATCATTCGCTGCCGTAGACTTTTATATTCGTCACGTGAAATCCAATTGTTGACTGTCACTAAAATATTTAACATATTCGTTCGTTAAGTACATTTTTCAAAGGGTCGGTGTGGAAGTGGGTCTTTTCCTGTTTGTCTATGAAATTCAGGTTTGTAAACCACTATCATGACTAACAGATCTCGATAGATGGCAGTGTTGAATCACTTTTGATTTTAGATCAGCTTTGCTTTGAAGTAGAAGGTAAATCATGGTTTGGCATGTCACTTATTTTGGGAGGGATGTGCCATCACTTTGTAAAGGTGAGAATAGTGAGATCTGATACAGACATACAAGTAAGACTGTTTTCTTACAAATGGATCTCTGTAATGTTTTGGTTTCTGAGCAAACGGCATGAGCGTTAGGGTGTACATATTCGATTCCACCTATTTAATTGCTTCGTCAAAGTTTTATTGATTGTGAATTTAGCGCATTTTGATTTCCTGAGAAGTATTGGTGCATTTGCTTCCACCTGATATGTTGCGACTGAGTAAGATTGTCAGCCATGACATTGATTACTTGATTTTTGCCACAGAAGCTTGGGGCATGCTTAAAACTCAAAGATGAGACTTCTGACTTGCGCATACTGGATTTGACATTCTCCCACCTCTGCATGGTCGTAATTAAAATGCCTAACAACATCAAAGGTTATTTTCCTCGTATTGGAAGCAAGCAAAATGCGTTTTCGTGGTTACTAGAGATGCAGCACAGCTCTCCCAAAACACTCGAAACCACAAAGGCTTAGGGCTTAGACTCGCTGATGAAATGGAGCGCAACGCACAGCTGCTCCACTTTACATCAAACTCCACACGCTAAGACCACAAATTTGCTCAAGATTTAGATCTTTGAAATCCAAGCGAGGAAGCGAGAGCGGGAAGATTTGCTTCGATTCACAAGGGGAACAATTATCGGATTCCAAAGAGCCGGGCGAGCATGAAAGGGGGGCTTTACCTCACACACGCCCTCGTTCCTGCGTCCTCCCGCGCAGATTTTGCTATTTGTGATGTGCAGGCTGCCCCGGTGCAGCTCTCGGCATCGTTCGTTGCTCACCATCGGAAGGTTGACTGCCTTCAGGACATCGTCGTGGCCTGTACCTGAGGAAGTTGAGAGTGCCACTTAGTCCTGGAGTGAATGTTTGCATGGCACACGCACTGATAATATGATTTTCTTTTTTTAATTTTTTGCTTTATCATTGTGACATTTTCAGTATAATACATTAAACAGAATTGAAATGAAGGAAAGTAAAACTACTGTTTTAAAATTATATTCACATAATTTTCTTTAACTGAATAAATTATATATTTATCTTATTTTTACAGAAAATATAAATGCATAATAAGCAGAAATAACATGAAAACTGGTTTTCTTTATTTTATTCAACACATTTATGCATTTATTGCATTATTTTTACATGATAATTTATTCAACACATAATTTGTCAATACAGTAGATTTTATGAAAGAGAAACTACAAAATGACTATAAAACAATATTAAAATATTGCACATGAATGAAATAAAAATATTTTTCTTGCTATTATTCAGAATAATTTACAGTTACTATATGTTCAACTTTTTATGATATTTATATGTTAAAAAAACAATATGAATACCTAACCCTAATATGAACATATTTTAAATGCTGTTGTCTTCAAAAGATTTTGATAATAATGACACTGATGATTATAATTTTATGAAAGAAAATGACTATGATGATATACATCAATAGTAAAATACTATTCAAAATTGTCGAATGTTTTCAATTGTCGTTGACATGAAAAAAACCATTAAAATGCTTAAGTCTTCGACTCTATTTTTGAGCCAAAACTGATGTGATATATGCCTATAATGCGAGGATATTATTATATCTGACTACCGCAGTATCTTCCGAACACTGGAAACAGAAGTGGATTATAAAAATAATGGCAAAAAAATATATAGGTTTTATAAAGTAGAAGCACCTTTGGTCTCCCCCCATCCATACATTTTACAAAGGGTTCCTTCAGGGATGGAGCAGCCGTCTATGGGCAGCTGAATGGTGTGCACGTTGTCAGCGGGGAGTGCAGGCCTGCAACAAAATAGAAAAAGCACAGTGTGCATTTTTGTGCGCAACTACATCGAATCTAGAACTGGCTCGCGTCACTCACTTGGAGAGCCTAAGCAGGGCCAAACTGGAACCTTCGGGGCCACATATCACCTGCGCGATGCGCACTTCCTGTCTCGTGGCCCATTCGGACGTGTTGGCTGCAATATTGGACACGCCCAGCCACACCCGATACTCGCTTAGGTCTGGAACGCTGATGTATAGTGCAAGCGTTAGATGGTTAGTTAAAAAAAAAAAAAAAAAGTAGAACAATTGTGAAGGTACCATGAGGAGAAGCACTGTCTGTCTGTGAGCACCCACTCCTCTCGTACCAGCGAACCCCCACACCAGTGCGCTGACCTACAAAGGACATCCAAAACAATCAATTACATCAATTAGAATTGATCAAAGGATACAGAGCAGATTAATGCCTGTGAAATTTACAGTGGCATTAAATTATGTTTCGAAAGCAGCCGCGTGGAATATTAATGATGGTGTTTAAGTTGCCGGAAGGCTGCGTGCCCTTCAAGAGCGTGGAAAAACGCACAGAATAATAAAGACTCGGGCGTACCCTTTTTGTATGCTGACCATCCAGCTGCCGGCTGACACGCTCAGCGGACCTCCTCCGACGATTCGGGGCCTCTTATGGATGAAACAGCCAACAGAGGACAGCTCACCTGCACGAGCATGCAAACACAAACACACGATTTTTTTTTTTTTTTGTCTTTCACAAAGACAACTAATTCACAACTACTATAACCAAAACAATCAATTACATCAATTAGAATTGATCAAAGGATACAGAGCAGATTAATGCCTGTGAAATTTACAGTGGCATTAAATTATGTTTCGAAAGCAGCCGCGTGGAATATTAATGATGGTGTTTAAGTTGCCGGAAGGCTGCGTGCCCTTCAAGAGCGTGGAAAAACGCACAGAATAATAAAGACTCGGGCGTACCCTTTTTGTATGCTGACCATCCAGCTGCCGGCTGACACGCTCAGCGGACCTCCTCCGACGATTCGGGGCCTCTTATGGATGAAACAGCCAACAGAGGACAGCTCACCTGCACGAGCATGCAAACACAAACACACGATTTTTTTTTTTTGTCTTTCACAAAGACAACTAATTCACAACTACTATAAGTGCCTATAAAATGCTGTAATTTATGTCAATTTTCTTGGAGGAGGACGAAAATATGTCTGTGAGTACAGTGAGCTCCCACATATTTGGAATACGGCATGTGAGAATTCGCCTATTCCTATTTTTCAACCAGTTCTTTGCAGAATACATCACTTGTTTGTGTTTAAAAAAACAACAGCATGATGGCAACTAATAACGGTCAACTGTTGATGGAATTTGACAACTCTCTGCCGGATCCCGTCTCTATCCGCCACAAATAGCTTGTGTCCACTGTATTGGATTGTGTCTCCATTTGTCATACACCGTTTGTGCTCAAATAGCTGTTGTTTGAATGGTTATCATGGCGTGACTATCTATGTCGTTCATTAGCAGCTCTATAGCTTTTTGCATTGTGTGATAGCATTAGGTTAGCAGGAGTCCAAGTTGTGGTGTTGTTTTAAATCCCCAGCGTGTAGTTCTCGTCGTTTTATGTTTAATTTGACTGTAATCTTAAATTGGGAGTGGCAATAAACAACCTCGAAAATGATTTCTGAAACTTTGTTCACTTTTTACCAAACTACTACTTGTTGTGAATTGAGTTGAAGTTGCTGCTCACCACCATGTCAAAGCGAGAAAAAAACAAAAACAAAACCCAAACGACATCTCTTATCTCAAAACTCCCAAATTGGGTCACTTAAGGCAGCTCAATATGTATGTTCACGTTCCCCAATCCATATCTCTCATTGATAGGGTGTGTGCATCCAACTGAATAGATTCATTACACCACTACGAAAATCACACATACAACAGAAGCAGCTATGTTAAGGAGGTCATTAATGAAGGCAATAATTGACTGTTCACACATGGCATTAATGGAAAAAAAAATGAAGCTAAAGGCTAAACTGTCATGGCCGGAGGAACAGATTAAATGTTGCGCTACTGCTTAATCACACACACACACACACACACACACACACACACACACACACACACACACACACACACACACGCGCGCGTGCGCATTAACACACACACACACGTTGATGTTGCACACCGTAACAAGTGCACATGTAAGGATGACCGCTTTTCTGCCATGACATTCAATCCGAATCAGCTAAAAGCAGAATGATGAGCTGGCCGAGACACTCACCTAGTGAAATGGTGTTCTGGGAAGCATCACCTGCACATGGGAGACAAATAAGGGGGTCAGCCAGGATTAACGGATACAAATAAGAGAGGAGGGGAAAGACCCCCCCACCCTCTGCAATACACAAGACAGTTGCATTTACTGCGGGTCAAATGCCACGGCCAACAGCGACCCTCTATTTGTCATGTCCGATTAGTCTGGAGTGTGGAAGACAGGATCACAGAGTACTGCGTGGATTTTCGACTGAACAGCAAAATTGTCTCACTTTACTTGGTGTACCTCGTATGCACGTATGCGGCCATGACACTCCGAGTCACTTTCTAACAGCAAGGTTTCGTATGTGACAATTATCTCGTTTCCGCCATTCTTTGTGAGGCCATTTTCGTGTGATCACGTTGCACAGATCTGTTTTGCACTCCTCAGACAAATTTCTGGTTTGTTAAAAATGCGTGTGTGCTACTGTGCGGGCTTTTAGTATCCCACAAATTTGTTTATGGAGCCCATTGTTTCCTGGGGTTTCATGTTCCCAACTGCACACTTACATGGTTTCACATTGCAGTAGTCCCAACGAATGGCAGAATTGTTGGTGTAACACCATGTTCCATGCTTGTCCTTATCAGGGTTTCTGCAGTAGTTCCTCTCAAGGCTTGCAACTGTCACTCCTCTCTCGCCGCTATAAAACACGGAATGAATCATAAACAAATCATTCATGACCACAAAAACAGAACAAATCAAATGAATTATTCAAATGTGGTCACAGGCTGACATAATCTTTGAAGGGCACCTAGAAATGGCCCAAATTACCACAATATTGCTGCTTCAAACCAACTTGGGAAGCTTCCTTTGTATTTTCAGGCATGGGTTTTTGAGAATTTCTTGTGGATCTAGTTATGAAAGTGAAATGTTTTGTTTGGTTCTGACCTTGTGCAGTTATGTGTGTGTTCTATGATGAGTCATCAAATTTTGACACCATGCTCCACCCACATTCACCCACCATATAGAGACAAAAACTCAAACCTTTTGCAATTTAGCTTTTCCATCCGCCAAGTATAAGTAATTCAAATTTGGTAGCAGTCAGACGAAATCTCAAGGACAAGTTTTATTTTTGAAGGGTGGGTAAAAAAAAAAAAACCCTGAAGTGACGAAAATATCTGACATTTCTTGCATTTGCAGAAACGGTTTGTTCAACTTTTTGGGTGATTCCACTTATAATAGACAATGGTCATGTTGCCCAGGGAAACTGTCTTCACGGGCTGAATTCTTAAATACGCTTGTAAAATTTGACGAGTGTTCAAGAATGGAAAATCCCTCAAAATGGTCATTTATTTGGCCTGAGCAAAATAAGGGTAAAGATGCAAAACAATCTCAAGAAAGCCCTTGCTCCCTTTTGTCATAAAGAGAGACTTCCAAGCGATTGAGTTTCTCGTAAAAGCCGAACAAATGCACGGTGATAGGATCTGGCTAGTGGAAGTACACAGCTGTGTGGGCTCTCTGTCCTGCGGGACAAGATAAGGAGGTGATGCGCAGAGGAATTACTCACAAAAACAGCCACCTACACTCTTTGACACAGGATTCTGCCTCCCGCGAAAATCCCTCCACGCTCATCCATATAGGAACACTACGGCGAAGTTTGACAAATGATCTCTCGTGTTTGTTGAATCTCAAATGATGAGCTTAACAGACAATTTTCTGGTTGACTCCCTAAACCTTGACCTCTGACCCCCTCTGGGCGGGAGCCAGGGCGTGCATCGGAATGGCTTTGAAGCGCTGCAGCAGAGGAGGGGCGCAGGGTCAGAGGTGATTGCCCCCATCAGGAGTCATTCTTGTCGACTTAGGTCATCTCAAGGGGAAGCGTTTTCACAGGTTATGAAGAGTTCTGAAGAGGGTTTCATCATGAAAACGAATATCTGCTGCAAATAGGAGGTGGCGCTGCACAAACACTCTCTGCTCTTAAAGATGGATTCAAGTACTGGGACACCTGGCTGGTTACAATGATACGCAAAAATGGATAAAGGGTCTACAATAGGTAAATATGGGTGAAAATTTGATTGTTCTCACAAACAGATGAAGAAGCTGATCTATTAACTGGGCACACACAGGATTGCATCTTCCAAACAGGCATGTTATGTTAATTTTTTTATTTTCCGGAAGGAGTCGATTCAAACAGATCATGCGAGGCAAAATGGAAAATGAATCTGCTCTGCTGGTGTTAACATTTCCAAGATGCCAGGAACAAAATATTTTTGCAGAAGATGCAGCACAGGGATCTTAGTAAATCAGGCCCATAGAGTTGGCTGTAGCTTAGCCCATTCGTCTGGGAAAAAAAAATAAAATTCTACAAGATGTTGGAGTGTATATGTTGTAGTTCATCCAGCGTGTGTCCTTCCACATCAAGCATTTAACTTGTTTCATGCATGGAAACATGCTGCAATCGTAGTTTTGTCCTCTAAATCAAGACTTTTTAAAACCTTTTTCAACGCCACTTCGATTAAGTATTGGACTTCTCATTTACAAAGGATTTTATGTGAGAAATATTATACCAGGCAGCACAGGAGGGTAATGGTTAGCGTGTCTGCCTTACAGTCGAGAGGTGCTCAGTTTGAGACGTTTTTCTCCAGGTTCCACTCCCACATTCAAAAAAAATGCATGTTAGGTTTACTGGAAATTCTTAATTGTGCCTAGGTGTGAATACAAGTCGAAATGGATGTTTGTCTATATCTTGCCTCAAAGTCATCTGGGATAAGTTCCAACTCAATGATGTGAGAATGGAATTTTTTTTTTCCTCGATGCAGATTAACTACAAAGTCATTAAATTCTTTCAAGTGTTTCCAAGAAAATATCGCATTGTTGTTTATAGCATCGAGGGCAATTTTAAGTCCTTTGAATGGTGGTTTTAATGTTTAAGAAGTCTCATTTTTCATCGTAATTAAGGCATTCATTTTTGGAAAATCAAGTTGAACGCTTGGTAAGGTTCCACAGACACCCTGCCAAACTGTTACCACAAAAGCTGGAAGCTTACGATTGCCCACAACGAAGGAATAAGTTTGAAGGCCAACTAATTTTAGACAGTGTGTTAAAGCCAGGATTCTTGTGCCTTCTTTTTTTCCTGGGTCGCTGCCTTTTTGGATCATCAGTGTCAGCTGCTAGACCAGCTGCCGTTGACGATGTAAGACAACGAGGCAAGCACGAGAAACCTTTTCATGATGTTTGTGAACAGTCAATGGCAAGGTACTTTAGCGTGTCAGAAAGGGATTGACTTGCTGTGTTTGGGGTTGTACTGCCAGATATACTCCAAAATATATATATTTTATGAAAACAATTAAAAAGTCCAAATAAATTTTCCGGGACCTGTGGGTGAGGTGGTCAAATGGAGTGGATGTCATCAATAGTTTTAAAGAAAAGTGGAGGCTGTAGCTTCTCAACAGACAGACTTGGAATCAAACCTCCATCATCAAGTTTACAGAAGACATTTTCTTATATATATGTATGAAATGTCTCGACCAGGAAGAATGTGTGACAGAATGGTGAAATGTCTAGAATAAAAATGGTCGGATGCTCGGGATAGGTGTAGAAGGCTCACCTGTTGCTGTGCTCCGCCCAAGGGGCGCAAAGCAGGTTGGATCTTGTCCTCGACTGCTCCCCTCGGTATTTCTCTCCGAAGCCTTCGTAGCAGTCTGCATTGAACAACAAAAGAAATTGAATGAAGCGCCGTGAGCTTCAAATACAGGTATGGAAATGTGAATTCACTTAGAAGTTCCTCATTCTTATTCAAAAAGGTAAAACGGAAATCAACAGTCTGCAGTAAAAGTGCTTCATGTTGCTGCATGATCTCATTTAATTTACATGGCAGGTTTTGTGAAACGTCTGGTTGTGGTGACACATTACAAAATCCAGGAAAAGAAAATGAAAAGATTAAATTTGTCTTGCTAGCCTTATTTTTTCCTCTTCTTTTGTGTGCTGTTATTTTTGGATGATTATCCGTCGAGTGGGTCACATTGACAGATGAACGCAAGATGGACCATTAGACTGTGACATTAAACACTGAGAGGTGTACTGAATGTTTTGTTTCTCACTTGTTATAATGCTTCATTTATCCAGAAAAATATGCTGTGATCCAGATCCCACAGCAAACTACCTCAAAAAGTAGCTTCATCGTCAATGTACTGTAGAACACAACAAATTTGGAAATATCTATAGTCGTTCAGATCTCGTGGGGGTATGAGTATTTTCTGTCCGTTATAGTCCACAAGAGTCATACCAGACAGCTCTAATCCGTCCGCGCCATGAGGCTTTGTTTGTGTGAGGCGTGGTGGCGAGGCCTTCCCACACTCCTATAGCTCCCCACAGGGACGAGGTGAAAATACATCGACAATGGAGTGTGTGCGGTGTACATTGCAAGTTGGGTAAAGTATAACTCTTATTGTGAGAAAAGGAATCTAGCCACTGCTATTTTGGAACGCAAAGCCAGTCTCTCACCAGGCTTGTTTTGGGAGCCGCACTGAGGGATGTTGGTGCACAACATGGTGCGTACTCTCGGGTCCGTTGTAAAGCACCATGGGAATTCTTGGCCATCTGGATTCCGGCAGTAGTTTTCTTTCAAATCCCTGGAAAGCAGCAAGAAATGTACAGTGGATATAAAAAGTCGGCACACCCCTGTTCAAGTGACAGGTTTGTGTGATCCAAAAAACATGTACCAAGGAAAATCATTTTAGGAATGATTTCCTACATTCGTGTGGGCCATAATGTGTACAACTCAAGTGAAAAAAAATATCTTGTCGAGAGGTGACGTGAAAATAAACAACGGCGATGGAGTGGTTGCACAAGTGTGAACACCCTCTTAGGGCTTCCGTTTTGCCACCCTAACCAATATAGCCCAGATGTATGAACAAGATTGACGATTGTTGTCACATGTGCTAAACAGCCAGTACTTGCCAGAAATTCCTGCAGCAGCTTAGATGTTGCTGTCGACATCTTGGCAACCTTCCTGACCAGATTTCTTCCCGTCTTATTATCAATTTTGGCAAGATGTCCAGTTCTTGGAAATGTCACTGTGGGGCCAGACTTTGTCCAATCAGAGTTGACTGTCTTTACTGTATTTCATTGCTCCATTGTGAATCTAATGTTTTGGAAAATTTTTTGTACCCATCTCTTGACTGATTCCTCTGAACAATAAGATCCCTCTGGTGCCGTGGAAGCTCTCTGTGGACTTTGGTTTCTGATGAAATATATGACCCAAAAATGTCAGGAAAACCCGACTAAAACAGTTAAAATGTATATGCGGTTAATTAGTGGCACGTTCAATGGTGGCAGGTGAGTGTCGACTCATATTTAGCTCATGTTTGAATGTAATATATACATTTTGAACACGGCCAAATCCCCAGGTTGTAACAAAGAATGTAACTATAACTGACAATTACGTGACTGTAACTGCAACTAAGTTACTTGAACTAAGTAATTACAACTGTAATTTAGAGACTAAATATAACTAGGTAACAGTTAGGTTACAGCATATCTAACTACGTAACTGTATAAGTGGGCAAATTTATAAGAGGGTGTGCACACATGTCCAACCACATCTCACTCATTTATTTTGACTTCTTTTCTCATAAAGATTGAGTTGTACAGGTTAGGAGTTACATTGATGGCGGAAAAAAAGATTTGTATGGATTTATCTTGGTCTCCTATTTTATATATAACAAAATGCCAATAAGAGCAGGGGTATTTTCACATTTTCGATCCACTGTTACTATCATGCAGACTGAGTGAGTGATGGATGGATGGATGACTCACTTGCAAGGGTACGCCTGCGGGATGAAGGAGTGGTTGTGGGGGTACTGAGAGTCCCAGCGTTGGCAGGTGAGACCAGTGGGGGTCATGTCCACCGTCCCCCTGTAAGCTTCTCCTTTGTCCTGATAGCACTCGCTGGTTTCCACCGTGGTTCTTTTGGGAGGAGATTCTGCGGAGGCAAAACACAGCAAGCAAGGAGGAGAAGCTAAATGGAAAATATTCTTTCAAAAAAAAGAGTCCACACCCTATTTCATGAATCATATTGTATGCAGTATTACACACACAAGTGGTACACAAATACACCAGCTATGTATTTTCCATTTAGAACTTTATTTTTTTTAAACAATTAACTTTGTTCGATGACTTTCAGATATGAGATTTGGCAACCATTTTTCTGTAATTTGTATTTCATATCTTAATTACACACATATTGAGCAGTCAAATCAGCTAAATTATATTTAAATGCCCTCCAGAATGAATATTTTATGGATAAATCATTTTTTAGTCATGTTTTCATTTAATCTTTAATTGTCAGACCAACTGTTTATTAAATTACACATACAATAAATAATACGTTTGTAAATTAATGTAATTCTTGAAAATGTTATTATGTTTTCTTTCAATTAAAATTTCAATTCTTGACAAATTCTTATAAAAACAAAAAGCTTATCCGACTAAAGGCGAGATGAGAGACAAGGGTGAGATGAAAGATAAGATAAGGGAGAGCGTGAGAATTAAAGAGGTGAGAACGTTCTCAGGGTGCGGCAAAGTGTGCAGACAAATTATGAAATGACTCCAATAATTCACCGCCCCCCCCCGTCCCCAGACACACCCCCCCCCACACACACACACACACACACACACACACACACACACACACACACACACACACACACACACACACACACACAGACTCCCTCCCAGATAATATGCCTGCCATTTTGCATGCTTATCCGTATGCTATTCTGCACCTGCACCGACATTATAAAGTCCCAGAGACTCAGACTTGTTCAGCAAAGAGCGACTGCAGCTGTTTCTAAATACCCGGTCCCAGAATGTTGCATCATGAGTGCTGAGATAACAATGTAATATAGTTTAAAACATATGCGTTCAGTATGTACCAGAAAATTGGAACTATAAGGCGTAACATTTTCCCAAGCTTGAACTCCTGCAGCTTACACAAAGCTGTGGTTTAGCTATGGATTTTCCCCATCCCAGGAGATTTACATTCTCATCTATTCAGCTCACCAAAATCGTATTTACTGTCCATGAATTTTTCGATCAACTCAAGTATGACAAAAAAAGCAATATATTACCATGTATTCTTCCCCCTTTGAACGCAACGGATATTTGAGCACAAACTGCAGAGCAACACATTTAGACCGATAATAGAAGAATTCTCTGAGGCATATTCTTTATCCTCGGTCAAGAATGACCGCATGGCAATGAGAGAAGTGGCCGACTCTGTATCCGTGCCTGTAATATACTGCCCCCAGGTGGCCATTGGGCACACACGACAAGACGCAGCACTCTGTCAACTTCTTCTAGACATAATCAACTCTACTTTTGTCACACTACTGCCACCATCAGCCTAAGGCGTGCACATCAGCATGTCCATCCATCCATTTTCCAGTCCGCTTTATCCTCACAAGGGTCGCGGAGCCTATCTCAGCTGTCTTTGGGCAGTAGGCGGGGGACACCCTGAAACGGTTGCCAGCCAATCGCAGGGCACACAGAGACAAACAAACATCCGCGCTCACACTCACACCTCGGAACAAATTAGAGTGTTCAATCGGCCTGCCATGCCATGTTTTTAGAATATGGGAGGAAACCGGAGCACCCGGAGAAAACCCACGCAGGCCCGGGGAGAACATGCAAACTCCACACAGGAAGGCCGGAGCCTGGATCAAACCCACGACCTCTGCACTGTGAGATCGATGCGCGAACCACTGGTCCACCGTGCCGCCCTGTGCAATATGTGTGACTTGTAAATGATTGTGTTTTATATTGAGCAAGCATGACTCCAGCTTATGTCCCCATTCCTCCCTATGCTTTTAAAAGCAGCCATTTAATTAACTCTTGGGCCTTTAAAGAATGAATCCAAAAACAACGTTTAGATGTTAAAAAAAACAAACAAACAACTAATTTCAAACATTAACAGAGAAAAGAACACTGTGCTCCCTCACTCTCCCTGCCTTGTTTTCATTAAGACTCACTGGGTCGTAAACTCGCTAGTTTCCAACAAACCTCCATAACAGGGACGGCGAGGAGGTGGGAGAGGATTTATTTTTTATTTATTTTTTTTAAAGGGGGAGGAGTGGGGGCATAAGGTGGTGGAAAATGGAGGAGCCTTGGGACACTGAATCACTGGTGGATCCACACGGAAGAGTGCCCTCGTAGTAAACATGGTGCCAAGCAGGCTGATGACAATACAGCAGCCTCACTTCACAGAAGACTCGTTGTCTTTGAAAGGGTCCTTTTTGACCACATTACAGCACGTGGGCCCGAGCCAGACCACCGCATAATTTTCTGTTGCCAATCAAGTATGTTTCTTGCTGAATGAAATTGTTGTCATTTTGGAAAATGTTTATTCACTTTTTCACAGATTATACAAGCATTGTTTTGCCCTCCACCAAATCCATTCTTAATAGAAATTTTTCTTCAAACTCATTGTGTTGGCCCAATGATAATGAATCGCTGAATTAAATGTTGATTAGGCCTAGTGTTAAGGTGGCTTGAACTTGTTTCAAATACATTTGCTAAGTGCAGTTCAGTTGTAGATCACTTTTAAATAAAATACATTTGAATTTCCTCTATTAGAGCAGGTTGTTCTCAAACATTTATTTTGGTTTTTACATTTAGCTTGTATGTGTGATACATTTTAATGAAATCATTTTTTAAATATTTATATCTCAGCACGGAGTACCACCATAAAGACCAACATTTAAATAAGTGTGCATTAAAAATGAGGCAGAGTTTTTTTAAGAGCATCATACAGTCATACTATTGTAAATCACTGTAATATTATGCCCAGTTTGAACATTAAGAACTGTACTTAAATAATAATGGATTTAAAATGAATTGCAAATCAAAGCTAAATAAAAAAATGAATGTTTAAAAACACAGTTCTTCAAAATTAAAAGCAAATGTACTGTGCTTAAAATTTAGACACAACTGAACTGTACTTAACAACACTCCTGCACTGTAATGAAAAAAAAATGCCACTGTAACATGATACAACATTTAAACATTTAATTTTGTGATTCTTTACAGTACCACTAGAAGTATCTCACACACCAATAGTGGTGCACATATCACACTTTAATTGCCACTCTAATGGATTGAATAAAATCACCAAGTGTTGCATTACCACAAACTTTGATGGCACAGTATTCCCAGCTTGTGTTTGGGTCCGTGGTGAAGCACCAGGGCCTGTGACGTCCGTCTGGATTCCTGCAGTAGTTATCATCAAGGCCCTTGTTGGGATACCTAATGTGAAACATGCATCAAAAAGTAAGAGTGAGCAGAATCACTCATATCAAATAACTTGCTTTCAATGAAACATACTGTGGTATGATTTACAGGATGGCTTCTTAATCAGTCAATCAATCAAATAGGAGACTGCAGGACTGGCTGCTAACTTCATCAGTGTGCTGAATGGATGGCCTAGTTTCCAGAAACACGATAATTTCACTTGTTTTGCTCTCTTGTCTGCGCTTTCACGGTTTGTTTGTCTTGAAAAAGAAACATGATAAAAGGTCCTGCCTATTTGGTTACTCATTTGTCTGGGTTTTGTTCTTCCCGTCTCCTGCACACCACACACAGCATGACACAAAATCAGGGAGTAAAATGAAGTACTCGCTTCAGGACAAAAGTTTAAGCAGGAATTTAGAGCAATTAGTCAGATTGAAACGTTTTGCTAGCGAATCACTGCTAAAATAATAATATCAACTGTGTCTCAACAGGGAGACGTAAGTACACTGGCTGACTTCTAAATCACTTTTGACATCACAAGCACATGACTTTAGAGGAGACTAATCAGGCAATTTTATTCGCAAATTCCCAGGTGTCTTCATAAAAGGTCTTTTATCTCAAGACTTACACCAAGTTTTTCCACAAGCTTTTTCTGAGATTTGCCACTTTTGCTCATCTTAGCAATAGTAAGCGTATTCAGTGATCACTCAGAGCCCTCTTGCAAGAAAGTTGTTCTTTGGCATTATTTGAGACAGAGAGACTTCCAGCTGCAATCAGAACAGAAGACTGACCCCTCTGCATTCAGTCTGCAAGATAATCACGCAGGGTCATTTAAACCTCTATTTAGTGACTATTCAGGCTATTCTTGTTTTATTTTTCTTGGGGGGGGGGGTGTTCTGGTGTTATTGGAGTCTTTTGGTGGATACTCTGAAACAATCTCCCAGTAGCAGTCATAGCAGGAGAAGTTGACCCGTACATCCAGACTGCAAGAAAATCATGCTAGCTTATTTAACGATGTACAGTGAAACCTCATTTATCACGGGGGTTACGTTCCAAAAAGAACCCGTGATCGGCGAAATCCGTGAAGTAGTCAGCTTTATTTTTTACAGTTATTATACAGTACTGAACTATGTATACAATGCAGAGGCAATTGCACTAAGACTGCAAGGGAAGTTCAGCTTCCCCTAAAATGTCTAAAGTAAGTGATCAAATATATGTGTGTACGTACAATTGTGTATACGTCATTGACTAAATATGCGCTACAACGCGCTCAACTTTTGTTCCGAATCAGCTTCTTATTACTGGTTACGACGCGACTCTCTTCTCATTCATTCCCACAGCTTCACTGTGCTTTAAACTGTGTGGACGCTGAGCGTCGACCACGCGGACGCTGGGCGTCCAGAGAGTTCAGTGTAAGCTGTCCCATTGCATTGAAACGAGACGAGTCATTGGATAAATGCTGGTTTTGTCCCGCCCATCGGACGCACAGAGTCTCTGGGAGTCTATGGACAGTGGACGTTTATCAGCTGGCCCGGATGCTGAGCTTTTCTGCATGATGATTGGATGATCTGTCTGAGGCTGAATCTCTTTTTGATTGACAGCGGAATGAGCCAATCACTGATCATATGGTGATCATTTTTTGGGAAAAAGGAACGGAGAGTAGAATTCACGTATAAATAAACGAACACATTTTATGATGTAGGCCGAAATTGAGCTTCCTCTCCTTGACAGACCAGCATCTGCCACTGATACAATGAAACCAAAGACGAAAAATTTGCAAAGGTAAATTTGGCAAGCTGTACAGAGACGAGGTGCGGAGACTGTTCACGTTGGTCAGTCCCTTAGCCAATCAGGATGCAGAACACAATTCACTGTTTAAAAAAAAAAGCATTAAAAAAAAACGTCACTAAAAAAATCCGTGAAACAGCAAAGCCGCGGAAGGTGAACCGCGTTATAGCGAGGGTTCACTGTATCTAGTATCATTTTTTTCTCCTTACTGGACACTTTCAAAGCTTAATTATTTTAATGACGTATTCAGTGACTATACAGAGCATTTCAGCAAAAAATCTGTCTCTGACACGACCGGACGCTTTCAGAGACTCGGAAACTCCCTCCCAGCTTTGTCAGAAGCAAAGAAGATTGTACGATCTGGAATGCATCAACAACATCACCTGATGCCGAATTTCATCTCTGATGACGCTCAGTCTAATTCGGGTCAGGTGACTGACTTAATTGCGTAACTTCCTTGACTTCAAAAACTTTTTGGTTGCTTTTGAAGTATGCTTCAGGTCATTGTCCATCTGCACTGTGAAGCGCCATCCAGTGAGTTCTTCTGCCCAAATTGTCAAAACACGTTATCTGCTTTTGTCAGTTACATCCTCAATAAATCCATTGGTGGTTCAGTTTTTAGGGACTATTCAGACCCCTCTTGTGAAAAGCTTTCTCTCGCGTTATCGGAGAAGCTTAGACTCCGAACCGGGTGAGGTGGGAGCAGTAGATGTTGACGGGCTAATTTAACCGAAATTGTGCGATCATGTTTGTGCAAGTTACCTGTCGGGATGGTACAGGTGCTTGTGTGGCTCCTCCAGATCCCAGCGTTGACATTCTTTTCCACTCTCTGTGTGGTCCATGGGTCCTCTGTATTCCTCCCCGTTGCAATGTATGCACTCCACTATACAACCATGACACGTGCATGCATACAATCAATGCTTCAAAAGAACTTAGAGAAACAAATAAAACCATTTTCAAACCCCATTTACCTCCTCTGCCCCATCCGTCTGGTTTTTAAATCAAACGTGGCCCTTGAGCACAAAAGTTTCTCGATTTATGGTCTTTCTGTAAAACTAAACATTTAATTGCATACATATTTTATCACTACAATAATATATTTTCTAGGTTACACACCATTTGGTAATGAAGCGCCTAATGTGACTGTCTATACACATACTTCAAAGCATTTATTGAGTGAACGAGCCAAGAAAGTGTCGATTCCTTTCATGTAGGCAAATCTTCCATTTGTCCATGCAGAATGCTGCTACTACTGTCAACAACACGGCGCACGTAGATTAGAGGCAGATGTCCGCGGCGGAGTGTGTTTTTACACAGAGCTGTGTGCGTGCATTACTTTCGCAAAGCAAATTTTGTGCACTTTGAAGCGAGCATGTTTCCCATTAAACAGGGGTGTCAAACTTGTTTTCATCACCGGTCACATGGTGGGTATGGTAACCCTCAAAGTAGGGTTTCAAGCCAGGGTTGGAGTTTCAAATGAGGGCTTCAGTTCAGGGTATGGGTTCTAAACATGGACCAGGGTTTCAAATTCGGGATTCAAGCCAGTATTGGGTTTTAAGTTTGAAGTCATGGCTATCTTTTTAATTAGAGCTGTGTGGCTAGGTTTCAAACCACGTTAGGGTTTTAAATTAGGGTTTCAAAAATTGGATGATGGCTTTAGAAAAGGCAAAACAACTGAAATGAGGGTTTCAAGACATGGTTTAGGTTTCAAATGTTTTAATTAAGGCTGAAGGTTTCAAATTTGAGATTTAAGACGGGGCTATGGTTTCAAATTTAGATTAGAGTTTCAAACAAGGGTTAGCATTTCAAAATATTATTTCAAGCTGCGGTTACAGCAAAGTAAGGTTTCAAGATGGGGTTATACATTCAAATGAGGGTTTCAATCCTTCCTTGGGGTATTTAAAATGACGGTTTCTTGCATTCAGATTTTCAGGCAAGTTTACAGGTTCAAATGAGCGTTATAAGACTTGCTTTCCAAATTAAACAAGGGTTAATGATTGAAAATTAGAGTTTTCACACCCAAACTGTGGCTTGAAATTTGCTGGACATCACAGGTACCACTGAATCCACTCCCAAACGCGTTTTTTGTGCATTTGGCCTACCTTGAGAGCACTGCGGTATTCCACACTCCTGGTGTCTGTGGCGTGGGTCGGTGGTGAAGCACCACGGTCCGACGGTGGAGTGATCCGGGTTTCGACAGTAGTTCTCCCTGAGGTCCTTCTTGCTGAAGCGCTTGGACATGAATCTGTCGGGAGCAAAGCAGCCATTACGCAAACATGCAGCACATGTGCAGGGACCATCTGTAAGCTGTTGGCAGGTAGCGTGTGGAGAGATGTCTTGGGGAAAAGAAGAACAAACAAAACCAACAATGCACTCAAGGCCACGGCGGCCGTTGTCCCGAGCAGTCGGTATCCTCTCAGTATGAATGGAATTGATGCACTGTCACCTTGATGACTGAGAGTGAATCACAAAAGTATTCACATTTTGTACAATGCACTTAAAACAAAGAGGACCATAAAGCGCCAGCACCATCCATCTAGCATGTACACAATCATGAAACTATGTTTCATGAACAACTGTAGTCAGTTCAAATTATTTGACACAAACCAACCACCCGCCGTTGTATCAAGCTCATCAATTTTATCGACAAAGAATCCTGTGTTAATAACGTGTCAGCCCAAACTGACGTGGTTTTTCCACCCCAGGACTTTACCCAAACTCTTTTTTTTTCCAGCTTTTACACACAACAATAAATGTTAAGGAATACACTGACGCAAATTGTAATGGCAGGAACATATCGCCCAACAAAACAGATCTTAAGCACAGGCGAAAAAACACTATCACTGAATCAAACTACCCTACAGGTACTCCGATTTCTTCCAACATTCCAAAAACATGCATGGTGGCATATGGGCGCTTTAAATTCTCCCGCGGAGTGATTGTGAGTGTGAATGGTTGTTGGTGCTTAGCGATGGTCTGGCAACCAGTTCAGGGTGTACCCCGCATACTGCCCAAAGACAGCTGGGATAGGCTCCAGCATGCCCGCAACCCTCGTGAGGAATAGCGGTTCAGATCATGGATGGATGAACACCAAGATTCCAGTAGATGGCGACAAAGTATTGATTTAGTCTCGGTACAAAAACAGCAAATAGACAAGATTTTCAGCTCATCTCAAAGGATAGGACCCCAAATAAATCAAACAGGCACATTTACAAATGCCAACCCATATGTGCCTGTTTTCATAACTTGGCATCAGAAGGTTTTTCAATAGCTTTGTGAATGTTGTGAACTTACAAAATTAGCCAATAACAACCGAAAAATAATCCTGACGTTTGTCAGATAAGATGACTTTTCAAACGCAATGAACTGGTGGTTTTTAAGATGGCACAAAACACAAGGCATTCATGGCAAATCATTCTTGGAGACGCCAAGATCACCTGGGGGGGGGGAAACAAAATGTACTTAAGAACAGTACCAATATTTGTTCTTGGTTACTTCCCACCATTGAAAAGAATGCAAGCGAAACAATATAGCGTTCCATGAGGCCATAGTGGAAGAAATGTAAACAATCGACAATGATGATGGTGACTCATATATTCTCCATGAGGACTGCACATGGCCTCGGCTTCCAGAGAACCACACGGTGAGCCAAACAGTGTTTTTCCAAGTGATGATGGAAAGACCATCTCTGAACTGGTTGCTTAGTTAACCCTTCGGAGAAGTGTATCCACATGCCATCTGGATAGGTCAGTAAAATGTCTTTTCTGATTGGCTAGGGGAAATACAGTAGCATGTTTTGAAAAATTGTGAGGCATGTAAGTATTTTAGCACAAAAAATTGGAAAAAGAACAATTTGGAATTCTTTGGTTACATCGTTTCAATGCTCTTGGTTAATTTGTTGGCATAAAGTGAACTAGCTTGCGCAGCAGCATAAACATACTGTACATGGTCCCATGGCAGATCAAGGCACACTTGGTAATCGCCGTCTTTAATGTGTTGTGTCTAGCGCCCTCTCATTTTTCATCCATCCACCCATCCATTTTCTGAACCGCTTTATCTTTACAAGGGTCACAGGGCGTGCTGGAGCCTGTCCCAGCTCTCTTCGGGGAGTAACGAGGGACACCCTGAACCGGTTGCCAGCAAAACGCAGGGCACACGGACACAAACAACCATCCGCACTCACGCTCACACCTAGGCACAATTTAGAGTGTTCCATTAACCTGCCATGCATGTTTTTGTAATGTACCCAGAGTACCCAGAGAAAACCCACGCAGGCCCGGGGAGAACATGCAAACTCCACACAGGAAGGCCGAAACTGGAATTGAACCCGGTACCTCAGCACTGTGACATCGACGCGCTAACCATTGGAACCACCTCTCATTTTTTGAAAGACAAAATATGTACATAAACTTTGTCCTGTTCTCCACAGTGACAATTTTCCATCTTCATAATTACTTCCTGTTTAATCCTATTGAGGTGGAAAGGTCAATGCGGCAGTCTCCTGTGGACCTGAAGCAGTTTTCAGTTCAGATTTCATTTAGCCAGAGTAAGAACTCTAATGATTTCCGACCAGCTACCTGTGGTCAAATTTGTTATTATTTTATATATTCTAGAAGTGACCGTTGCAAAATGTTCTTTTTTTTCCAGTGGTTGCTTGCTGGATGAAATGGTGCAACAGGCTCATCGATGATTCGTTTGAGCTTGGTTTTTGTCCTTTTAGGTATTTTCCCTCCGGCCAAACCACCGCCGCTGCAACTAGGTTTTCATGCTGAATGCAAGCGTAAAATCCCTCCTTATGACTCACCAGACTTTCACCATAACACAGTGGAGAAACAATGTTTCACTCCTTGCACGAGTACATTTTTAATTGCCTTGTTTTATTTTTACGGGGTATCCGATTAGAAAAATGTGGTTTATCTGGGAATGCAACTCAGCGGGGAAGTACCTCCAGCTTCACCCTAGGCTGGTAGATATAATCGTGTTCACACACACACACACACACACACACACACACACACACACACACACACACACACACACACACACACACATTTTTGGGTAAACACTAAGCCTGCAGCAAGAACTGATGTGTGCATTTTTGATGATGGATTGCAGCCCGGGAGTTCTTACTTTCTTATATCATGTGCACAAGCATGCACCGTAGCCTATAGCTACTGACTAATTGCATCACTAACAGACCAAAACAAACACACCTATATAAATATACAGTAGATGGTTCTTACTTGTGTTCATGAGGAATAGGGGAGGCCCAGGACTGGCACAGGATTCCAGTGACTGTCATCGACCTTCGACCTCTATAGCTCTCACCGGTACCAATGATGCACTCGCGAATGTAGTCTGAAAACAAAATCTGAATGTTAATGGTCTTGCTGTCATGAACAAATGTGTTTGCATGAAGACTTTGCACATGTGTTGGTCATTCAGAGCTGTTTGTAGGGCGGGAGGAATTTCCACAGTTTATACAAAGGGTCGCGTAATGACACAAAATGATTCACAATGTGCTGCGACACAATAAACAACAACATCGGTTCTTGCCCTTCCTTTGTTTACCTCTCAAAGGACGACATCCTAACAAAGCTAAAAATACGTCTGTGTTGTTGGTTTTTATTTTGTTTGTTTTTTTTAGCCGATTGCAACAACAATAGCAATTGATGTCGACACATCCCGCGAGATAATCACCTTTCTTTTGATACAGTTGGACGTTCAAGTCGTGTTGCATCTGGGCGACAGGCGAGTTACGGTCAAAAGACAGCCACTGGCATTTCCTGTTTTGCTGATCATAGAGGAACGCTCTGGGCACAAAAAAATAAAAATAAGACAGTTAGAGCAGGAAAAAAAATCGGAAAAGTGAAGCATACAGGCAACATTCCACTCAATTACCACCATTGTTACGTCATGCAATGCAATTAAGAGTGGCCTGCTTAACACCAAATACACCCGAATGAACATCGGAAAACAACTGAAGAAGAAACAAAGTCCTTTTGAAATTGTCTTGTTCCACTATCATTAGCGTAGCCCAAATTACTTTTGAATTGTCTTGTAGGCGTGTGAAAATTAATTTTCGTCGGAGTTGCAAATATATGTAACCATCAAACTTTTTTCTAAATTCGGCCCCCGAAAGCTAGTTTCGCTGAGCAACATGAAATTTGGTTGGGATGTTGGTCATGAGTAAATTCATCAAGAAGTCTCAAGATGCCACATCTGAAAAGACACAAAAAGTCAACCATTTTGGTATGAAGTCACCATTTTAGGATCATTTTGGCCATTTCTGGAGGTCTGTTAAAGTTTGCTACCAAATTCAAACTATGTATTCTTGACACAGAGTTGACGCTAACCTGGGACGAATTTCAGTTTTTGTCATTGCGTGTGGATGGAGCATTGCAACAAAGTGACTCTCCTTAAAACACAAAGCAGAGTTTTAAATATTTGAAAATTCACCAGTTTCACTTTTCAATATGAAATTCGGTCGACATGCATAACAAGAGAAGACCCACGAAGAAGTTTCAAGAACCAGGGTACAAAAAGACACAGGCAGTCTGTTATTTTGGTATGAAGCAGCCATTGCAGGGTCATTTTGGCCATTTTAAGTGGTGTTTTTTTTCTTCAGGATTTTTTTTGTACCATCGCAATAAAGAAGTTCAGTATTTTTTCATTACATGTGTAAGAGCATTGTGAAAAAAAATTGATGGGTTGCCAGGAAATATGACCCTCTCATTTAATTCACTGAAAATTCAGTCTCAAATACCAGTTTCACTTAGCAACATACACATTTCATTGCCATTTTTATCATGAGTAATGCATAAAAGGACTTACAAACCCATGCACAAAAATACACAAGTCTGAGATTTCGGTATGAAGTGCGCATTTTAGGGTCGACTCCAACGTCAGTGCTTTCGGTGCAGTGACATTTCAGTGGAGGCATTACCTGCAGGTGAAAGGGAGTTTTTTGTTGCGGCTGCAGATCCGAGCGCACTTGGCCATGCTGACCTTCCTACTTTTGGTCATGTGGGAGGAGCTTGGAAATGTGACAAACAGACGCACGCCATCAGTCCTCTGGTAGTCTTGCAGTGCATTTCTTCTACCCTCTGATACAAAGACATCACATACAGAATACATTGGACATAGCATTAAGTTCAAGCCAATGAGATACAAAGTCAATATAATGCTAAGTTTTGGTTTTATTCATTTGGCTTAGGTTTAATATTGCCGTTGTAGTTTGCAGTGGAGTGCATCATGATGTGAGATGTTCCTAATATGAGGCAACTCTTTTTTAAAAACCTTATTTGGCTAGTTAGCGTTCATAATGGACTATGAACGGATCATGACGAGGCAAAAGAACCACAAGCAGATCAGGATGAACCATGCAACTGTTATATAGCATGTTACAGAATAGTACAAGTACCAGATGTATACTTTGATATACCCCGGCTGGCCACAACTTTAATGTAATACAAAATGAGGAATCATAAATAGCTGCGTAAGCATACAGTAACTATGCCTCAGGGGCAGGGGGGTGCTTGACAATATTATGTTAGGGTCACAGATGAGCTGGAAACTATGCCAACTGACTTTGGCCGAGAAACAGGATACACTGGTCAACTGGAGGACACATATTGAAAAACAAGCTTTCACACACACTGATGTAGAAGTCTTTAATTATTAAAAGAAAATTAATTGTGTGTCACAACTCACTTTGTTTTATTGATGCACACACACTGAGGGCCTCTAAACAACCATTCACACTCACATTCACAATTTCGTCTTCAGTAGAGGGAAGCTGCAGTACCCAGAGAAAAGCCACACAAGAAAGGGGAGAACGTGCAAACCTGCTTCATCATTATGCGTCGAAGTGGGATCCCTCAGAATTGTAAACCAGACTAGCTAACCAATAGGACAATGACTTCCAAACACTGTGCTGCGACACATTATATATGAATGTTTTGAGATACGAGCATGGTCACGGAATTAATTAAACTGACATCTCAACTTGGCAATACACAGCATACGTACAATACAACAAGCATGCAATAAGCAATTAACAGTATGTTAAAAACGACTATAGCAATATACGATTATGACAACAAAAAGCTGTTTAAAAGTCATAAAAGAGTTGTTGTTGACTTATGAAAGTGTTTACTCTACTGTACCACAATGACGCACGACAATGCATTAGTAACATATAGGGGCTCATGTCATTCACGGTCGTACGTCGCTGCTGACTGAGGCTGACGCGCACCCACACCAACGCGCGCGCGCACGCGCGCACACGCAGATAGCTATGACGCACGCAAATCGATGATCCAAAGCGGTCATGAAGGATTACAATTTGAGTTCCCCCGCTCATACACGCACAAACGCACGCGCAAGTGCCTTCGCGCGTGTCCGCGGAGACGCATTTAAGGTGCGCAAGATACGAACTGACACTCACTGGTCGATTACAGCAACGATTCGAGGTTAAAAATAAATAGTCTATCTGGAAAAATGCATCCAAGTGGATCCCGTCATGCTGGAGGATGATTTCATTATTTTACCTGGTCGTGCGTCACGGCACACACAGACACACACAAAAGGGAAGACACGGTCAAACTTACCTGAGTAAGAGAGTACGTAGAGAGTCAGCAGTAACTTGTAAATCCACATTACGATCCAAGTATCGGATACCACAAATACAAATAAGTAATGGTAATCAGAGAAATGAGCCCAAAGTCTAGGAGGAATCCGACGCTCACTGGGAGATTTTGCTACCACCACTGCGCAGAGGATGCGTCTCCTCTCCTCCAAGTACTTCGTCCTCGGCTCCCTCACCCCTCCTCCACACCCTCCTCCTCCGCCTCAGCCCTCCCTATACTTTTCGTGCCCACCCCATTAACTTCTTCTTTCAGCCTTCTTGATTTTTTGCCAAAAAGTCACATTGCAGTGACAAAACCCAGTCTGGCAGTCCCCATCATCAAATGCTGTAACAATCTTTTTTTTTTTTTTTTAAACAACAACAGCCATTTCTCAACTCATATGATGAATACATTCACGATGGAATTACTGGAATACAATAATTTTTGTTTAAATTAAGAAAATTCCGAAAAATAAATAAGCACTATAAGGACTCCCATTTTCACATTTTATATGAGTACATGCAGGGCATTATGTGTGGAGAACAATCATTTTTGCCCTGAATTACAAAAAATACCATTGCAACTCGAATAGAATACATTCATTCATTTTCCGATCCGCTTTATCCTCACAAGGGTCATGTGAGGGTTCTGGAGCCTATCCCAGCTGTCTTCGGGCAGTAGGCGGGGGACACCCTGAACCGGTTGCCAACCAATCGCAGGGCACACAGAGACGAACAACCATCCACGCTCACACTCACACCCAGGGACAATTTGGAGTGTTCAATCAGCCTGCCATGCATGTTTTAGGAATGTGTGAGGAAACTGGAGTACCCGGAGAAAACCCACGCAAGCCCAGTGAGAACAAGCAAACTTCACCCAGGGAGGCCGGAGCTGGAATTGAACCGGGACCTTTGCGCTGCGAGGTCGACGCGCTCACCACTGGACGACCGGGCCGCTCAAATAGAATACATGCTTGTCGCACAATAATGCTTGCACCCCAAAAAAGCAAAGTAACATTATTATAATGGTTTACAGTTCGCCACCTGATATGAAAAAAAAAAGATGTTGCCCCAAATTAAGAAAAACAGCAGTTGAAGGACTCGCAACTTCCTGAATGATATGAATGCATTTGTGACAGAATTTGTAGGGCACAATTATGATTGGCCCAGATTAAGAAACACTGTATTGTTTGATGAAATAAATGTTTGATGGAACTTGTGGGGAATACTAATGTTTACTTTAAAATGGGGGAAAAAAAGGAACAAAAAAAAATCATAAAATGGTTGAACAGCTTCCCATCCCTAATGAACCTTTTTCTTGGGCTTTTTTTTTTTTTGTACGTGCATGTGTGTTGAGGTTAGCAATGACAGCAGACGCAGATGCAGTAAACACAGATACGCCGTGTTAAGAGATCCCGTCGCCTAAAACAAACACACGCTTCCTGTTGTCCGGGCGCGAGATTGACGCCGCTGCTCATAAGTGAACCCTGCTGACAGTTGGAGTAACACGAATTGCACACACATGCATGCACACGCACACAACTCTTCCCCCACAACTATGTTGTGACGTAACTTGTGTCAGACTGTATTTCTGATTTTGTTTTGCAGCATGCATCATATTTTTAAAATAAAGTCACCTGAATGATTTTGGTGATTCGCAATATGAGACAAAAGTCTACTGGAAGAAGAGGTAGAGAGGGCCCCAACTAAACTTCAGTAATATTTATTGTTCCCCCAGAGCATGAAGAACAAAGTATATTCTAATATTTGTTGTATAATAATCATGATATGTTTGTATGCCTGTATGCATGTATATTAAGTATGCTAATTGGCCCATGGCATTTTATATTGTATGTTAGCATATTAGTTGGTGTGGGGGAGGCTGGAATGGATTAACAGCATTTCCTTTCATTTCAATGGGGAAAGATGATTTCACATCCAAGTGTTTTGAATTACACGCATGGTCAAAGGAAGCATTAAACTCATATCTCAAGGCACCACTGTTTTTGTATTTCACATGGGAACAACAGTGAATATGACTTGTTTTCCACTCTGTTGCATGTTGTTTTACAAGTTAGCTGTCAAAAAATGGATTTTCATCCCAACATTGTTCACTTTTACACACAGATCATCAAAGTGTCACTTGTGACACTTGCTTCATCAATCACAGATAACCAGTAGAAAACAAGTCATCCATCAGCTATGTAGCTTTTAAAATTCAATGATATTGCCCTTGGAATAACTTTTTCATGTCACATTTTCAATCACGGACAAAATGTCAATATTTCAGCCTTTTGTCCGCCTTGCTCTTTTGTTTATGGGTGTCGACGTCAACCGAGAAGGCAGAATGTGGGAGGAACAATTAGTGGACTCTGTGTATGCCTGCAAAATCATAACTGTTTAAAAGGCACATCCTTTGCCAACAGCCCCCCCACCCCCACCATCTGCATAGCGTCACATGCATTGCCATTGTAAAGCACACGCAACCTACAACTGCCGACCAAACTACAATGGGAACTGCAATGATCATTTATAGAAAAAAAAAAAAAGGTCATGTTTACATGCTCAATTTTTGGGACGGTATAGAGAAGAGGAAATGTTTGCTTCTATTCTTTTGCTGTTCGTTTATTTGTTCTGTAACGCTTCCGTCATTTCTGTTTGGGCCTGTTAATAATAAGAGCTGGAAATGCATTTGTAAACTTAAAATCGCCTCAGACTGGGAATTTGAAAAATGAATGAATGACCTGAGGACAATAGTGCTGGTGGATACGAACATCCATAAGCGGTGCTCAAATTCAGACATTGCTGCAATTGGATATGCTCACATCAATTCTGTGGTCTGATATGTTTTTGCCTTCCATGTTATTCCAACTGTCTTGTTATTAATTTGCAAAGAGTAAAAAAAAAAAAACATTAATTACTCATTCTTTTGTGTTCAAGGGCCACATTCGATTCGAAAAACAAACATATGGGCCTGGTCAATTGAAAAATAGGTTACAAGAAAACGAAGAAAACACATTCCAAATTCCATTTGTTTGTATTTCTCACAAATTGTATGATGAGGCTATCAGTCTCTGTGTTGAAGAATTGAAAGACAATGTACTAACATTTTCGATAAATAAACAAAGAAATGAATAAAGTTCTTAAAATTGTATTATTCATTGTACGTATAATTAAGGGTGGCATGGTGTCGACTGATTAGCACGTCCGCCTCACAATGCAGAGGTCATGGGTTTGATTCCCGGCCTTCCTGTGTGGAGTGTGGAGTTTGCATTTTCTCCCCATGCGAACATGGGTTTTCTCTGGGTACTCTCCCACCTTTACCAAAAAACAGGAGGAGGCATGGGGCAAGGATCAGTGAAAACAAGCAAAAGAAGCTTCAGCATACTCCAGAATATGAGAGCGGCTGACTAGTTGACCTTAAGTGCCCATTGGAAAACATTAACAAGTGACTTCAAACAAAGATAAACATCATGTTAACCCTGCAACTTGGTTTTCCCTGCTTGTGTGCGTATGCGCGTGTCCATGCGTATGTGTGCACGTGTGTTCAATAGATAGCAAGGATAAGAAAGGTAGCCTCGAGGACACGAGTGTCAGGATGAAAACAACAAGCGACCCTGTGTTTCCTCATTTCTCGCACATCTGCTAACAGTTAGCTTTGTGTTGTCTGCCGCTCGTGGCTAATTCGTCCCCGTGTGACGCATGGCTGTCAAAATCCCTCAGAGCATCATTCAGGGTTACAACAGTAATTCAGGCTTCTAATATACACACTACTGAAAAGCTCTCACACAAATTCCTGAAGCGCTCTTGTACAGTCTACTGAAATACTCTCATACATACCGCTGAAATGCTCACACCTATCTTCTCACCTTCTCCCTTCTTACCTATAAAATAACAACACAACAAAAAAAGTGAAAACATACATTAATGATGCTAACACATATACAGTAGACACCTAAAAACAATAGAACAATGTCAGTTTCATTTTGGTTTGGAAGCCAAAAAATAAAGACGTCTTCAAATGAGTTTTAATCTTGAACACGGAGGGGCTTGCCTAATATTGAATGGAATTTCATTCCATAGGGAAGGACCGGCAACAGAAAATGCTCAATCCCCTCTGAGGCCCCACTTAGTCTTGTCAGCAGACCTGAGGCATCGGGGGCGTGCGTAGGGGTGGAGGAGCTCAGAGTGGTAAGATGGGGCGTGGCCATTGAAGATTTGAAAAAAAAAAAAGATCAAAGTATCATAAAACAAACTCTAAAATGTACTGGGAGCCAATGTAGGGAAGCGAAAATTGGGGCTATGTGCTCCCTCTTACAAACTCCAGCAGTATTTTGGACCAACTGGAGACGCTTGAGGGATGGCTGGCTGGTTGCAAAATAAAGTGCATTATATTTACTGTCTTGTTGAGTTTGAGGATTCTTTTTTGTGACTTTGGACCTTGGTTTTTATGGATTACTTTGTTTTTTTTTTTAATTTAAATTGATGATTTAGATTGATATTTATGGAATACTCCTGTGCAAGTGCATTTTGGTCAGCCCAGCTGTTTGTGGAAGCAGTGTGTGTTAGCTATGTCCTCAAATTAGATTTTATGTTATTAGTTATTTTTAAACCACGTACTGTCGGATGGCTTTCCAATTTATAAAATGCATATCTAAAAAATAAAATTAAACAAGAGTATTCAAGACGCATATCAATATGTCACAGATGGCTGAATTAAATGGCCACTTCAGTTATTGCCGGTTTCGACTCAAGCTTCTTGAAGGATTATTGTTTTTGCGTCCCATCAGTAACCTGATTGAGTTTCAGGGCTGATCTGAGGAAGATACTGGAGGAAGTTGGGGTCAAAGGTGTGATTCAATGACAGGCTGCCCCATTTGATTTGTCAGTGTTTTGCCAGGAGACAGCACTAAAATGATCTGTAAATAATATGATTGATATGTATCTACATAGTTTACACCAACCGCCAATTGTATGTGTTTACTGTCCGTGAATCATAAATACAAAAGATGTAGATTGTGAAACTTGTGTTGGAAACTATACACGAGATATAAACACAATCCTTGACCTTATGCTATGTATCTGCTTTATTTATTTCCGTAGAATTCTTTAGACTGTTTTTACAAGGCATTGACGTCAATGCTGGTGGCTCTGTTGCGATTTACAGTAAGCTT